ACAGTGATCAGTCCTAGTAAAAAAAAGGGAATCAGAAGACGAGAAATTATTAAAGTTTTTTTTAATTTCCCACAAACATATTATATTTATTCTCTAAAGCCCAACAGTAATTTTGGGACTTTTTTGTAATAAATTGACAAAATACCAACATTTTAATATTATAAACTGTATTTGTCTCAGCCTCATGGCAGTCTTCATGACATTTAAAAAAAGATTAGAGATTGGGTCTCAAACAGTCTGTGTGTGCAAAATGCAGAGTGTAGTGAAAGAAGTCTTAAAACTGAAGGGGTTAAAATAAAATGATAATAGAAAAACTCTACAACTTGATGTTTGAATTGTAAAAATGTTTTGGAATAAGAATTACTGGTTTAGTTTAGACTTTGTGCCATCAACGCATTAAACATTGCGTTTAATAAAAAAAAAACTTGCAAAGTGCTATTTCAGGCACGAGAAATCCAACTTTCTGTGACTTGTTTAATTTTTAATTGATGTTTTACTGAAATCTGTCTGAGGTACAGAGCTCCAAAGAGGTTGATGGATCTATCTATGGAAAAATGTTTCACAATTTTGTGTACACTGTAGGATGCACTGTCATCATACCCACATGGTTTGTATTTTTGTATGTGATTTTCTGAGGCTTTGGGAAGAAACAAAATATTTTCAGCCAAACTATGATAAGAAAGCCTCCGTATTAACAGCAGCTCTCTGAACCAAGCTAAAATGAAAATTTTTGGAGTTTCTTGCTGGACTTCGCAATAAAACCCCTTTTATTTTGCTCTAGCCTGATATTTTATTTAAAAAAGAAATTGTTCTGAAGAACAACATTCATTCAAACACTGAATACTGTGGCAGGTAAATGCTGCTGACACAAATTAGAAATAAAGGCCATTCTGAATGATTCCTTATGAATCTCCCTGTGTGACATGAAAGTTGTCACTGAAATGAGTGGCAGGAGGAGCTGAAAAACAGTCATGCCTCTAGCATCAATGAGCCTGGGAGGGACTGATGGTAAAATCACAACTGATGTAGCAAAAGGAGGTGCAAGTTTACAGTCCTGAAACAAAAAACTTTGTTGTTATTTTTGTTTTACATCCTCCCTCGATCATTGTGTCCCATCAGACAAATGTTTCCTCCCTCCTCCCTCTCTTGCTCCATCACCCTATTGTTTTATAGCAGTGTCCACGGCTGTGTTTTCCCCTGGTTGGGAGGCCCATATCAATTTGCAAACATGAAATCTCATGCTCATCTCTTATCATTTTATCCTTAAATACCCTCTTGTTTCCTCTGAACATGTTTTTGCTCACGTTTCATGTCCGCTCTCCCACTCTGTTAGCACATGAAACGAGCATCTGTTTTGTAAACAGATTTTGTTGGACTCTGGCACAGCTGGGCCATTGAGCCTGGCTGAGAATTTGAATGTTTTAAATTGACGGTTAAAKCAGTTAAATTCTGACTTGTTTAAATGTTTCTTCCAGTGTCGCAGAGAAGGGAGCTGAGGGCTGCAAAGACCTGATGGAGGCTTTTGCTGCATGTGTGAAGAGTGCTGCTGAGGGGACATCGTGAGGAGTCCAAACAAAAATGTAAGAATATTGCAAATATCTGAGATATTCAGCCAGGCAGGTTGGAGCCTGACAACTTGAAATGTATTTATATGAAGCATAAAAATAATGGCAGACAAAATGAAACCTATATCCCCAAAATGTCCTGATGCATCTCAGTAGTCCAGGTAGAAAAATCAAAAAGAAAAAGTAAGTAAGTCTTCTGGATGGGTTCTTCTTTARTGAAACGTTTCATCTCTCCTCCAAGAAACCTCTTCAGTCTGAGGAGTTTCAGGTGAACTCAGCCTTGTCAGCTAAGACACATACAAGACAGGCCCTGGAGCAKTGCGGTTATCCTAACTGGGCTTTTCTGAAAGCCGACAAGAAACCCRAACAGGATTCCAGCCAACAACCAGGTGAAAATGAAGACCCTAAACCCAGACCCAAACCAGTCGTCATTCCATATGTGGTGGGGGTTTCAGAGAAACTGAGACGTTTATTCTCTAAACATGAYGTCCCAGTGGCTTTCAAACCCCAAAAYACGCTGCGACAAAGATTAGTTCACCCCAAAGATCCAGTTCCCCGGCAAAAACAGAGTAATATAGTATATGATGTTAAGTGTCAGGAGGACTGTGATCAGTTATACATCGGAGAAACAAAACAGYCACTGTTCAAAAGAATGAGCCAGCACAGACGAGCTGCTTCGTCGGGTCAGGACTCTGCAGTTTACACTCATCTACAGGCCAGYGGTCACTCTTTAAGGGATGAAGRTGTTCTCATCCTTGATAGAGAGGAAYGTTGGTTTGAGAGAGGAKTAAAGGAWGCCATCTTTGTGAAGAAAAACCATCCACCGTTAAACAGAGGTGGAGGTCTTMGTGTCCAGATGTCCTCCTCCTACAACGCTGTTATTGCAAGTATGACTCAGCCCCCTRTGAGCAAAGGATGTGAATCRGGGCCCCAAAGATAGTCAGGTGATGGGCCATATGACCCTCTATGAACAATCAAGGCACTAACGACCTATTGTTTGGCTGATGGTCCTCTTTTGCATGTGACTAACCTGTTTGTCCACCATGTGGAGGCTGAGTTCACCTGAAACTCCTCAGACTGAAGAAGTCTCTCGGAGGACAAACAAAATGTTTCATTAAAGAAGAATCCACCCAGAGGACCTACTTAGTTTTGCTTTTTGATACATCCCCAAAACCTTTCAGGCTAAAAGGAACTTATATCCAAAAGGGACAAAATTATAGCTTTTTCAGTTCAACCTTGAAAATTAATAATTAWTTAATTAATTAATTAGATTTGATTTGATCAAGACAGTGTGCAATTAAAACATAAATGTAAAATCCTTTGATGCATTGCACCAGATTTAACTTTAGACTAATTTACATCTATAGTCTCTCCAGACAATAAACAAATACAAATAATATAATAGAAAACAGCATCAATGAAWTTAAAAAAAGAATGTTCAGCAATTAAAAACACTCACAGTCACACATCTGCCCTCCAACACACGTTATTAAAAGTAAGTTATATTAATGATTACCTCATACAGTTTTGTGATTGTAGTGTTGAGTAGGTTTGAGATATTTCCCAAGATAATTTTTTAAAACTAATAAAAGAACTGCAGATTTTGACTTGAAAAACATCTGATGCATTACACCCAGTTTAGCCTTAGTCTAATTTACATCTGTAGTTCCTTCAGACAATAAACACGTAACACCAAAAAAAAAAAAAAAAAAAAATCCAACATTAATGAACCTAAAAATTAAAAAAAAAAACATGCCCACTAAACCCTATGCCTCCTCACCCTCCAACGCACACTATTAGAAATAAATTATGTAATTGATTATTAATGATTGCAGTTTTGAGGAAATATGAAACCTACTTCAAATGTCAGTCATTAAATGGACATTATTATCAGTTGTCAGACTCACTGGCTTCAGACCCCCACCCCGTACCTCCTGGTTGGAAGGCCCTTATCTACCAATTCTTATGTCTGATATGCATTTAGGCGCAGTGGGTTTAGCTCCTCCTCCAAGATGTGGAGCTCCAGTTAAGCAGTTGGTCTGGCTCGCTGTCAGTCTGGTTCACAAAAGAGCTGTTTTAGCCACAATGCATGAAGCTGTGAATTAAAAAGCATGCTGCCTTTTAGGTTTTGCAAAGCTGAAATCTGAGACCTTCTGTTTTCGTTCTACTTATCCTTCAGATGCAGGTAAAGGTCATTCTTTTGAGGACCCAAATGTTTACAGTTTGGGCAGAGAAGACATGGGGTTTGAAGTGGGTGCAGGGGTAAGAGCCACTTAAGTCAGATGAGAAGAAAATTAAACCAACATGAAATTGGAGAAGCTCTGAACAATAAAAATCTACTTTGGGCTTGCAGCTGCAGAAACTAGCCTTTAGTTTGATGAGCCCCTCGTAAAACTGTCCACAAGTAAATATTCATAACCTGTCCAAAAAAAAAAAACAAACAAAAAAAAAACAACAAACAAACATAGGTACTGTATGTGTGTTTCTAACTAGGAAATACGAAGCCCAACCAGTGTCAATGGTTTAAAAAAATACAATTCTTGAGGCCACAAGTTATTATCTCATCCCTTTGAGATAATAACTTGTGACCATATAATGAYTGGTAATTTCTATTCAGAGACTGATGATTGTTAACATGGATGAGTCTCAATCAGGTTAAATTTAGCTTAATATAGAAATGAATGAATCAGTCACTTGTGGTTATATTGAAGGTCAGCACTCGAGACAGGCTCCTGTCTCACACTGAGCCCTGGCTGCAGGAGTCAGAGTTATGTTGCATTCAGGAACGTAGTAAAAAAAACTGTTTCCTTACAAACATCC